GGGGGGGGTTATTACGTTAGGGAGGAATCGGAAGTAGCTGTTTGTACAGGTGATTGTCTTATACAGGTGACCGTTAGACCAGGTTCGACTTTAACATTTTTTTTAAAGTTTAGGAAAAGCAGGAAGTAGTCGTTTCGTACAGGTGATAGTCTTGGATAGGTGGCTGTTAGACCAGTATCAACTGCAATGGACTCACTCCTTCGTCACCGTCCATAGATTTGCACTCCAAGACTGACATGGCTGCCTCTCTTTGCTGTAACTTTCGCACTGAAACGTGTGCACCATTGAACACACCTTTACACCAAAATGAAGAGCGAAAAAAAAAAACAGTAAGAAGAAACTATCTCGCAATACTTTTTAGAATTGGTTTCTAATTTGCAGTATCGGTTGCGCTCAAGTTAAATGAATAAATTAATGTCATTACATTGTAATTAGTTAATAAATAAATAAATAAATAAACAAATACTAGCTGGGTACCCGTTCGAAGCGTGAACTCAAAAGAATCGATCGTCAAGTCATTGTGGAAGCAGTGCGCCCTGCTTGGGATTGGGAACGGAAACCTCGCTTGTTTACAATGGCGTCTAGGAAAGACGGACTTTCCCAAGATTAGATCTAAACAAAACTACCGGTACTTCAAAGTTGAAAACAGTGACTTCAGACTCCTTATTATAAATGTGCGCCATTTAAATGATTTTGAACCACTGGCAATTTTTTTTTCAAATTCAAAGGTTAAGTTGTTCGGAAGTTTTAGGCGACCAAAGTGACGACCTAGATCTAAATGTAGATATAAATCTAGATATTTTATGAAGAAAGAAAGAAACAAACAAACAAGCAAACAAATAAATAAATAAATAAACCAAAAAGTTTATGGGCAATCATGTCTGTGTGCACAGGTTCTGTGAAGTGGTCACCTCCGTGCTGTTCCTACTGCTGATTTTGCTGTGGGTCTCACGTGACCCCAAGTTCGTCCCTGGTTGGTCAATGCTGTTCAAGGAGAAGTAACTGGCTTTTGTGTTCTATGTGTGTGTGTGTGTGTGTGTGTGTGTGTGTGTGTGTGTGTGTGTGTGTATGTGTGTATGTGTGTTGAGTGTGTGTGTGTTTGTGTGTGTGTGGATGTGTGTGAGTGTGTTTGTGTGAGTGTGTTTGTGTGTATGTGTGTGTGTGTGTTTGTGTGTCTGTGTGTGTGTTTGTATGTGTGTGTATGTGTTTGTGCGTATGCATGTGTATTTATGTGTGTATATGTGTTTGTGTGGATGTATGTGTGTTTATGTGTGTGTGGGGTGGGGGGTGGGGGGTGTTTGTATGTGTGTGTGTTTTGTTTGTTGTTTTTTGTTCTATGAACTACGGCTCGTTAAATTGTTGTCGTTGTTGCTGCTGCAGTTGTTTGTTTGTTTTTTGTTATATTTATGATTGAAGTGGCGGTGGTTTGTGTTGATTCTATATAGCCTATAAACCTTCAAAACGCCTCACCACTATTGTTGCTGTGGTAGTGGTGGTTGGTGTTGTTGATGATGGCAATTGTTCTTTTTGTTGTTTGTAATTAGATAGATAGATAGATAGATAGATAGATAGATAGATAGATAGATAGATAGATAGATAAACAAATTATATGTCCTCAGATCGCTTGTTCTACTCTATATATAATATTACATTTCTTCCAGCTATATTTCCGACGCCACTGCTGCAGTAATGGTCGCAGTCTTATTCTTCATCCTGCCCAAAGAAAGGCCAAAGGTTTTCTGTGGCCGGGATTGGCAAGCAGGTGAGCTCGTCAGGCTACTCCCAACTAACCACCCAGTTTTACTTAACAACATTATTGGCTAATTCCTTTCTGAGTACAAAGAAACACATCAGCGCAATGATGGTCATTTAGTCTAAATTAGTGCTGTGGGAAAAGTAAGACAGACAGGCAGAAACAACAGAGGGAATGTGAAAAAGTAGGACCTACCACTCACCAGTGGCGCCCTCAGACCTCCAGCGCTATTGTTCTCAGTGAATAAGTTGTTTTCTTTTACTGCTGCCTGCATAAACTATAAACCATAAACATGTGCCTAGATCAAGCCTGCTATCTTGATTCCGGAAAATCTATTTTACCGGAGAATCGCATATTGTTACTGGAACACTTCGACAAATATTTCAAGTAGATGTGTAATGTATTTCTTAGTATTGTTCTTTTACACCATTTATTTTGAGATGGTGTGTTTGAACCCACTTTACAACGTAATCATTTTTCCCCTAGAGTGTCTCGGTCTTTCTGCCGGGTCGGAAGCCACAACCTTAATTAATTTAGTGATTAAAATCGTGTCAATGTAGGCGTAAAAACACCTCCACATAAAAGGAAGATGGTGTGCCCTCCTGTGAACGGACGGAAATTGTTTAAAAGTTTGTTCTATACATGTATTATGTATAGAAGTGGTCACATATACTTATATGGAGTTTAAATTACCTGGAAGGCGTTTCGAAAAAAACTGCTAAACAAATTAACACATACACACACACTCACGCGCACGCACACACACACACACACACACACACACACACACACACACACACAATCACTCACTCACTCATTCACTCTCAGATTCTCTCTCTCTGTCGCTCTCTCTCTCTCTCTCTCTCTCTCTCTCTCTCT